GTAGGCCATCTACTCAAGCTCAGGAGAGTAATCAAATTTCATGAGATAGAAGATAACATAAAAATGTAGTTAACACCTATAGCATCTGTTGCTGGTGACTTTTCTGGTTCAAATTCTCAATTCTTCGCTGCCACAAGCCTTATTCTGGCTCTCCCCAGCTCTGACATGGCTATTCCTCAGTAAGAGAACTCTGCCTCTCCACCTTTGCTACTTTCTGGCTCCATCACGGCCCTAACTGATGGGGACTATTTGGCCTCCCTGATTGCCTGGAACTACCCCTGCTCCACATATCTGCATTCTACTCTATTTCTGGCTATTTTTGACTATTGGTTGGGCCACGTGACTAGCGAGGAGAAAGGGGTGTTTGATGCCCAGCCTGGCCAAGAACATGACTACCTGCTATGTGTTAATGAAGAAGAAGATGGATCATCAAGAATACTCACAGAGGAGCATAAATGCCTTCATATTTGGCTCTAGAAGAAGAGAAAAGCCTTTGAACTATAAAAGAGAACAGACAAACTGCGACCAGCATGTGCTGTTGGAAGCCTGAGAGCAAGGTGGATCTAGTTACAGAGAAAGCACAAGAAGCTGATCAGTGAGTGTCCCAGGTGAGTCCTGGGGTAGAAGGAAGGCAGAGTGAGGGTGGAAACCTTCACAAGAGAATCTTGTTGGCAGACGGGCCCTGAGGGATGAAGAGGGGGAGGAGGCAGAGATGACACATAGGCTAGGAATCATGCGGCCACTGGGATTCTCTCTCCTACACAGGCTTGGACTGATGTAATGAATAAAGGCTGGATTCATCTGCTTCGTCCTCTTAGTGATACATATGCTTCACTCTTGGACAATTTGATGTGCAGAATGTCATTTACTCAGAAAAAATACAGGTAAAATAGGGAACTGATTTGTCTCACAGAAAGTGAAGCCTTGAGCTTAAAAGGGTTTTCGCCATTTGCTCAAGCCACAGATGTCATCTCTTCTTCCTTCTTTCTCCCTTCCTGCCTCTCCTGCCACAACGAGGAGAACAGCAAACTACTAACAGCATCTGCCACACTTCCTTTCTGTCTCCGCCCCCTTGGTCCTCTTCTGCTGTTTTCTTCCACTGTCTTACCCAGACACCTTAGCTGCCTCTCAGACCTCCTTCCATCTGTGCTCTTAACTGGTAATGGCTGAGAAAATTAGGTGTGGGTCTGACCAGTGTCAGGTTGTTGCTACACTGGCCTGAATTTGTCAGAATGCTGCCAGAGTGCTGCTGGATGTGCCCCAACCCATCCCAAGATAGACACCAGTGAATGGTTTAAGGGTTAGGGGCCCTAGCTCAAGGGTCAGGATGGCCCTGAGTAAGTCATCACCTTTCTGAGACTCAAACTTCATATCATAAAATAGGAGGGATAATCGCACACATCTCCCACCCCAAGTTGTGAGTCTGAGAATCACAGGACTAGATTATGATTTTGGATAGAACCAGGCTATATAGTATCACCAACAAACATTGCCTACTGCCTTTGGCAGTTTGTCTAAACTGGCCCCGGCAGAGGAAGAGCATTCAGACAGGCTGAACTGTGGCTGATCTCCCAGTCCCAGTGATGACTTGGATTATCCCCAAGGCTTTGAAAATTGTCAAAGCCACCCAGCCCCTTTTTGGGAGGCAGTTTAATAATGAGGAGCAGAGACTTCCCTCCTGGAAACTCAAGGTATTCCCAGGGGTCCTAACCAATTTCTGGGCTCATTGACAATGTTCTCATTCCAATTCAGAAGGAACCTGACCCCTCTATAAATCTTTTCTCCTGCCCTCTAAAAATGAGAAATTAAGGTCAGGGAGTCTAAGTGATTTGCCCAATGTCATGTTAAGCTGATGCCAAGGGAGGGTTCTCTCCTGAATTGCAGAAGATTTCTCTCACAATGCCAGAACCCTAAGATTAGCAGACTATCGAAACAGACTTGGGTGTGGGTCCCCATTGTTTCACTAACAAATGGCTTGACTTTGGGCCAGTTAATCTAAGAATTAATTTTTTTCTCATGTGAAATGAATATCATCATAATATAGGAGACAGAAAGCATTGAATAAACATAGTATTGTAGTTGTTACCCGCTGAGGCAAGAAAACAGCCCCAACGAAACTGGGGTTGTTTGCACCTTATCCCTAAACCCCAGTATCATCTGTCTTCTTGTTTGTAAGCCCCAGGCTTTCACTGAAGTGGCTTAGGTTTAGGCATGTTGTCTTGGTTCTCCCCGATAATTCTAGACCTGGTCTCCTTTTATTTAGTTTTTAACAATATTTAATACAATGTATGTGAGAGATGAATAACAATAAACTGAACACTTAATGGCATCACTCAGTGTAAGAAATGTGTGCACTTTTGCTCTGGTAATCATTCTCTGGTAATCAATTGCCTGAGTTTGACATTTATTATTCTCTTTATTGGTTTTACCAGATACGTGTATAACTAACATATTGTTTAGTTTTACATGTCTTTTACCTTAACATAAACGGAATCATACTGGTTTGCTATTATTGCTTCAAGTATTTTTGTATATCCTGATGCAGTCGGAATTCAGTCATTTTCACAGTCGAATAATACTCCATTGTGTGCCTATGCCAAGGTTAACTCACTAATTACCCCTGTTGATGCACAGTTAGGGTACTTTCAGAACTATTTTCTTTATTATGACCAGTGCTTTAATTAAATTTCACACTCATGACCTTAGTATACATAGTTAGGAGTGCTTGACTCGTATACGACTTATGCTGGGTCGTAGGTATACATGCCATTGAATTTGTTAAGTAACAGGCTGTTTCCCAAATGGTTGCACTTCATACTTTTCTTGCTGATGTATAGGCATTTCAAACTTTCTTTAAAATTGGATTTGTCCATTTGTTGTCTATTAATCTAGTGATCAACTGATTTCCTTGTCCACTGTGCTACACAGAAGGGACCTGAGCTTATCAGGATTTATTGCTCTGCGTGGTCTCATTCCATCCCCACATCTTCTACGAAGACTTGATGTCATCAGTTCCTATCCTTGCACGACCTTCTCGGCAGGCCAGTCAGAGCTGCAGGTGCTTGTCGCAGGCCTGAGGCACTAGGTTGTCACGCTGCCCACACGTGGGGCAAAATGTCCAGCCTGGAAAAGCAGACTCTCATTTTCATCATGTCAGAAAACACCCAGTAAAAAGAAGAAAGACAAGTGTCTGTAAAAAGAAAAAGCAGAAGTGTAACTCTTACCCATGTCTTTTTCTCTGGGGAATAAAAACTTCACAGCCCAGGTGCTGAGCAGAGTTGTTTTTGGAGAGAAAAGTCAAGTGGCCAATGGGGTACACTTTACAATAGTTCAGAAGCAGCGAGCTGACTGTTATCACTCCATACAATAAAATCTGACTTCTCTGATTTCTGATGACATTAAATGTGCCTTTACCATGTTGGTCTACCTGGTTCTTCCAGCTAAGAATTATGGGAGAGGATACACTGCAAGAAAATTGAGCTACTAGGTTGGGGAAAATAAATGACTAAGGAGGGGCAAGCACTTGCATTTTTCTTGTGAAAGACTGTTTGATGGTCTGGCCAAGTCAGTGGCCTGGTCTAGCAGACAGGCCCCACCTTCTATACCTCTGAAGATCCTGCTCCTGAACATCTGGTGGAACCGGAAATTCAAATGCAGTGCATGAATGTAACCGCGAGAAGTATAGAACCTCTGTTTGTTCAAAGAAGAGAGCAGGGAGGAAAACATTCATCTAAGATTTCCACCTCTACCACCGCCGCTGCTGACTTTCCTCTTCCTCTCTCCTTTCCTTTTCCTCTTCCAGTTCACCTCTTCTGTCTGCTCCTCTCTCCCTGTTTCTCTTCAGCCAAACTTTGGATCTGTGACAGGAGAGAAGTAATGAGGGGCCCTCTTTTTTCCCTGCCTCTGTATATCTTTCAGGCCTAGGAATGGAATGGTCTTCCTGACAAGTGTGAGAAATGTGCACTTTACTTCATAAAGTTGTTCAGGGCATTCCTGCTAGCTTTGTGCAAATGTGTCCAGGTTCCCAAGAAATGATTCCTCTTGTTTTCTTTGTCCTTGATCCTGAACTACCTGCTACTGTCCAATGACAGATAAATCCATGCTTTTCAGACCAGGTGGGAGAAAGTGAGAAGTCATCTAGGAGGGAAGCAGCATTCTCAGGATGGTTCAGCTGCTGAAGGTGTGGTTCCCTCTATACCTCACCTACCTGTCTGTGCTTGTGATGACTCTGTGTCCAGCGTGTCACTGGGCATGATGAAAGGGCAAGGGTATGAGACACTGTCAAGGAGGGGAGTAGCACCCTGCTTATAGGGGGACTTCTACTTGATCTTAGAATTGTGTTGTTGGGAAATTGTTAGCTTTGCCCTCAGCTGACTTTTGGGGGGCATCCTGGTTTTATTTGGAAGCATTAGTCTCTCAGCAAGGTAACTCCTGACTCTGCCAGCAGAGAAGTAGGCCACAGAGCTTATGGGGGAGATCTTCTCCCTTTACCCGAGTCACCTGTCTCAGCCCCTAAGTGAACTTGTGTACAGAATTGTCCATCACATTTAAAATGAGCTTCAGGAAAAGAGACTCTCACTGAGGAAACTATTTCTACTCTGTCCTGCCACCTTGATAACTACTATAAAATTCCATTTTCATATACAGGTTCTATAAGTGGAAAAAGCTTATCCATGATTTTATGCAAATAAGCAGCAAGTCCCCAGCAGTCATCCAGGTGGAAATGATGATTCTACTTTTCTCTAAGCCAGAGAAGTTGCAGATGACAGCTCAACATCTACTGAAACGGGGACCGTGTTTTTGGGACGAACAGGAAGTAGTGACCAGCCAGAAGCTTGCCCAAACCTGATTATAAAAAATGCAGCTGGAAAGAAATTTGCATGTCTAATAGGTTTTACTAGTAAAGTGTACACAGCGTGGAGTAATCTGCCAAGCTGGCTGGCTACCCAGATCACATGATTACGTAGCAACGTGAAACTTGATGATGTGCTCCAGCGAGTTTTACTTCTCTCTAGCGCAGGGGTGTTTGCTACGCCTGCGTGCTCAGAAGTCAGACTCCTGCGACCGGAGCTCTGCACACCAGAGGCTTACCATGCTGCTCCCTAGGAGGGCCAGGAGCTGCTGACATTACGACAGAATAGTGACTCGTGTCTCATACCAAAAAGAATGGACAAACTTAATAAGATAACTGTCCCAGCCAGTCAGAAGTTGAGGTAAGCTTTTCCAGTCTGATATTGTCTTTCCTTTTTTCCTCTCCAGTGCTCTTACGGCACCTCAGAAATAGTGAAACCTTGGAATACTTTACTGGCTCAAAGGCAGTAGGAGGCATTATGGGGAAGTAGACTTGGGTTTTTAAAGAAATGTGTAGGAACAAGTGGGCTGGCCCTAGATGGCTTTTGCCAGTGATAGAAAAAAGTATAAAGTTCTAGAGAGGTAATAAAATGTGGATGCCTAGGGCTTAGACTTTACCAAAGGTCAGTTTTCAGAGTGTGATTGCCATAAACTGTTAAAGAATAGTTTGTCTATGAGGAGTCTGCACCCATTTCATCATGGATTACTACTGAATTTTTTTTGTTTGTTTGGATACCAGGAATCAAACTCAGGACCTTGTGCTTGCCAGACAGGCGCTGTGCCACTGAGCTATCTCTCTGGCCCTATTATGACTGAATTTTAAGAACAGTTGTAATACTTTGTATTTAGTATACAGTGTTTTATTATCTCTTATTTGTTTTCTGGACATTTATCACAGGTTTATTGGAGAACTCTATTGCTCTTTCTGGTGTCCTCCATAAAGTGTGATAATTATTTAAAGATAAAACAACTTAGGAAGAATAAACCAGAAGTGGCCCAAGAACACGATGCAAAGAGCTAAGGAAAAGACAACTTCCTAAATTTCGACTTTGAAGATCCTTTTGTCTCATTGTAATGGTCCCATGACTTTTGGAGATTGGTACTTTTAAGCGTTCAGAGATTGTCTTATATTCTAACTTCATACTGTAGCTTCAGTTTTTCATGGAGTTATGTGACACATGTAGCAGATAAGCTATCAAAACTAATTAGGTGCTGGAGATTTGGGAGTTCTGGAGACAAGATTTAAGAGACATGAGCTTGGAACTGACAGCCCTTCACTGTTGACATGTGGCTCTGGTCTTCTACCTAGTTGGGGTTTTACAAGGGCAGTCTGAGGCGCAGCGTTAGCCGCTCAGCCATTTCGAGAGTGCTGCTGGGAGCCGCGGAGCCATCAGCACGACGGAAACAAGAGGGCACCGCAACTGCCTTGTTCTCTGTTGTGCTCTCATGGGAGGCGGCAGGAGAATGTGAAACAATGGAAGGAGTAAAGGACACATGAGTATGGAAGAGACCTGGAGAAGCTGTAGAAAGATTTATGGAAAAGAGGCTTCAAGAGCTGGGCTTGGAGGAGCAGGTCACCTAAAAGGAGTTGCATAATTGTAGAAAGAGCGTTAGGTGCTGGAAGGGAGGAAATGCGGAGCTGACATGAGTACAGTCCCTTAGGGGAGTGCTGAGGAGTTTTCCACCCAGCAGAGGCTGTAGATGGCAGCCCATGTGGGACTGAAGGTCCCAATATGGTTAAACATATAGGGTGAGGCCCAGTTGAAAAGGACTGGAACCAGAGGGAGTTGGAGAGCGAGTTGCCATGACTGCAGCCACAAGGGAGAGGGCAGGATGGATAGGGTGGAGGAACCTGAAGGCAGGGATGGGGGTGAGCACTTAAGTCATGCAACCATCTAGAGTTGAAGGCCTGGAGCACAGCAGTGAGAAGGGAAAGAGGAGAGGTAGGCAGGATGTGGGAAAGAGATTAACAAGGCACATATATCAGGGCTTCTTTCAAATGAGGAAGAGGGTTCCAAAGGTCCTTCACGCCCTAAAGCTACACTAAGCCTTATGACCTCTTTTGGGAACCTCAGATGGAAATGTAAATAAAGAGAGGCGATAGAACTGAAATAATTTATGATCCTTCCTTCTTGGACAAAGTCCAGCTTGATCACAGAGTGGTTGATAGGCAACATGAAACCATAGATTATAGGATAGAAAGCCAAAATTATATTGTGGATAATCATATACTGCACTCATCTGCTTAGAGAAAAGTAACTTTTTTCCCACTTGGTTACTAAGTTGTCTTTACAGAATTGGCCTATTTTCATAAAACATGCACTGTTGATGTGGAGCTTTTGAAAGAAATGAAATTGTAAACACAGCAGACTCAAAACATGATCTAAATCTTTTCTGTAATTACATGACAGGATGAAGGATAGATGAAATATGTGCCCCCTGTGACTTATGTCTTCTCAGGGGAGAGACTTATGTTTTCTCTGCTTGTCTCACTGTGTAATTATTTAGTACCAGATGATAGCATAAGTGAACAGCTATGTTTATGTTTTTAAGCTTATCAAAGCTCATAGGAGAGTTTGTTTAAAATCTTAGCCAAAAAATAGAGACAGTGAGTGTTCATTCAAAGGACTAAATGAAATGACCCTGATCCAGAGGGTAGATTTCCAAGGCTGAAAAGAGACTGGAGGCAGGAACAACCAGGAGGACAAGAGCAGGGTGAACGAAGGAAAAGATTGGAAAGAGGTAAGGGTTCTTAAAAAGTGATGGTGGTCCTCAGATGGACACTGCTGGGAATGGATTCTCACCTTGAGACTTTCTATGTAGAACTGAGACAGGAAGGTGGCTAAGCTGCATCTGAACATAGAGATGTGTCAACACGCTTCTCCTTTTTCCTCCCAAGTAGACACTATATGAAGTAGGCTTCTCTGTTAGTAAGAGTTCATAGATTCTTAAGATCTTTTATTGGACTATTAGCCATGATTTCCCCTGATTTTTGTAAGGCAGTGATATCATCAGAAACCCAACTGAGACCTAGGTTCTCATTTGTTTCATAGTAAACATTCCTATGATCGTAAAAATTTCGTACTTGTAGGAGAACATTTCAAAATGTATAATTCTGAATCACATTGAAATTCATTCCTTTCACGTTAGTGAAACTAATTTGAAGGGGAAATTTTACATTTTTGATAACTTCCCATTTGTTTTGTCATCAGTGTAAATTGGTAAATTTCATGTTAGTTTCTTTTTTTCTTTCTATTTTGACTTTTTTTCCTATTGCTCCTGACATCGGTGGGATTTAGCTTTGCATGGATCATAGACATGGCAAACATCGCTCCCAGCTTCCATCTAAGTGGCTAATAAACTACTGAACACGATGAGTCCTGTTGTGGATGCCTGAGTGCAAGGGTGCTCACCCTTATCTGAAAGCTTCTATGCCTTTCCTTCCCAGTTCTTAGAATTTTAATTGGCGTTTCCACTTCCTCGACTTTGCAGTTCTTCAGAAACAAATCCAATTTATTTTTACCTCCATTCCACCAGTTCCCTCCCTAATCCTTCCTGTTTCAGCCAACGGTTTCATGATCAAGCCCAACTCTGACTCACCCTCTCTGCCCCTCCACTCACACCCACTCACATGCGATGCCCTGCAGTTTGTCCTTTCTGGGACTTCTAGCTGTGCTGTTTTCTCTCTTGTTTTCCCCACAGTCCTGGATAGGTTCTCATCTCCCTTCTGTCTTCTATGTTTGTTTTGTTCAGGTTCCTCATTTAGTAGAGGAAACAAATAATTCCTAAAGTCCCTTTTGGCACCAGTGTTATGGGATCCTTTAAGCACAGAAAGCATGCTTGAAATGTTATATTCTCTGAGGCTATCATTTTATCTCAATACCCTAAGGAAATATTCCTTGATGTATTTAGAAGGATGGTGCTGGCAGAGCCCAAAAAGGCTGACTCCAGCTTCCCGGAGCTAGCCATGGATTCTTTACCTCTCTAAGCCTTGACTGTGGGTGAAACTAGATGTGCTTTCTTTACTGGTTTATTGTGAAGATCAGGCAAGACAACATGGGTTGAAGGACCCAGAATGTTACAAGGCCCTTAGTCAGTACTACTGGCATATGAAAAGTACACTCAGCAACCAGAACCTCAGCCCACTGCTGTGTGTGGTCATTTGCTGCCTCTCTTCCTTCTCCCACTACTGGATCCAATTTCCTTTAACTCAAGCATCCAGTAGAGCAAGGAGCTGCAAAGAGGAGGTATGAAAGAATGGTAGAGGTGAGATAGACTTCCCAGCCATTCTGACCTCCCACTTCCCACTGCCCTCCTGTTATGTCAGCTGAGAATTCACTTAGTTTCCCATGTTGTGTCACACTGATGGATGATATATTCACAGCAGCCAAGTGAGTGCACCTTCTCCTTATGGGAAAACTACATAGGAGGCATATTATCAGCAATTTCTTTAGCGTGGAGTGGAGTTCAGAGTCCTCAGCTAAGAAAATTCAAGGCAATTCTTTCACCTACTTAGTGCATAGCTTTGCCTGGAAAAGCCTAAGCTGGAGCTTACATATCTGAGGTACACTTTCTCTTATATCCACTGATTGTTGTATACTATACTGAACAACTCCTTCCCTTTCAGGCAACCTATCTGCGAAAGGACTGGGATGCAATTAATTAGGTTGCCAAGAGCTGAAGCACAATTACATGTCAGCCCTGGCCCCTAGATCACTAGACCGGAGGAGACTGATCAGTATGAAATGCTTCAGGAGCACACTTGCAATCAATCTCTTGGATTTTCCCTCAGTAGATGATGGACCCAATCCAATATGTGGAGACTATACTAGCTTGACTTATCTGCAGGGATGACCTTTTTATTGACCTTTTGTGATAACATCAAGGAATCTGAGCCTGTTAAAAGACATGAGGAATAAAGGAGAGAGGGATAGGAATATCAAATGATAGCTTGTTTGGGCTAGGAACGTAAACTATAGAACACTTGCCTAAGCTAGAAAGGGCCCTGGTTCAATCCTCAGCACAGAGAGAGAGAGAGAGAGAGAGAGAGAGAGAGAGAGAGAGAGAGAGAGAGAGAGA